AAAAAATCATACGAGAGAAAAAAAAATCATACGCGTATAAGGTGCGAACGAATCGCACAGATATGCGGGCTTTCTGAGATCTTTCTCTCTCTCTCATTTTTGTAGTATGCAGATGACAAAGATGTAAAGAAGTAGTTCAGTCGCACTACAGCAGTGGGTAGGAGGTGGAACACAAGCAAACTGTGTACAAAGAACACAGCAAAAGCGTGATTTAGTGCGAAAGCATGAAGTCGCCCAGGGCGAGCATCCCTATGAAAGAGAGAATGTGCTTTACTCGTGGGTAATGTTAACGTTGCATAGGCATTGTGCACCGATTCAGTAGTAAAGAGCGTAGATAATAACACTAAACTGTAGTCAACACATTTTATCTGCCGACAATCGGCTCAGACTGCACGCAATGAAGCGCCGCTGCGCGTATTTGTAGACACGCCGCTGACCGCCTATCCACTCTTTCGCGGGATGGTGCTGCCACCTATAGCCTGATCTCGCCGTGAATACCGCCGCTGTTCAGCAAGCATGGGCGCCGCCATTGCTCGATAGCGATGGCAATGAGACTGCCCCAACTGCCCTGCTTTTGCCACTGGCTTGCTTTTGAGTCGCAGACGATCCGAAGCTGAAGTTCAGTTGCTGAGTTCATGGTTTCCTTCATGTAGCTGCTGAGCACAACCATGGAACGATGCCTCTTCCGATTCCGATGCTTATCATTATGTTCGTGCTAGGCCAGTGCGGTAACTAATCACAGTGGCTGTTCATCCACATTATCAACAAAGTCAGCTAGCCACGAGTGATGGATGATAAGAATGGCATAGAATAATGCAAAAGTCGCCGCTCCACGATACCCTGCCTCCATTTCGGCGTTGTCAGATACTTTTGACGGCGAACAGCTGCTTGTGTTAACGTGTTAATGCAATTGTTTGGTTAGTTTACGAAGGCAGTTTTAGGCGTTGTTTCAGCGTACTTTTCACCATGGCCTCGCTATGCTTGGGTGAGCATCACGTCGTGACACTGCTGGGAAAGAATACGAAGCAGCGGATATTTTTTGAATTTTGAGAATAAACGTTCTTTTGTTTTACTAGCCGAGATCAGCTATATTTTTTCGATTTCACTGCAACGAAATTTTTTCGCACCTCGTCAGTTTCGTTGTAGCGGGGTTCGACTGTAGTGGGAGTTTTGGCGTGCACAACATTCAAATATCACAAAAGGGTCAATGGAATATCGGTATGGGGAATGCACACCAGCGAAAAAGCAGAATACATTCTATGCTTTCCAGGTTCTTCCTTGCGCCCCCAGATGGCTCTACCTATCTGGCCTATCTGACGGTTACGGTGGCAGTAACACCCAGTATTGCGCGTATGCAAAGAAGTCTATGGACGAAATTAAATTCTCTATTAATGATATTTGTGTGTTAGCGAAGATACTGTATAATTTCATTACCTCGAAGTCACTGGGGCTGCTAGAAATCTTTGAATTAAGCGTGTTTTCAAATTAACAGGAGATACAAAAAGTGGGATGGAAGGAACTTTGAATTATTCGAAGTAATCAGGGCTGGTCATTTGCTGTGCCGGTTAGTTTGCGGCTTCAAGAATTATGCTATCCAGCAGCACCTGGTCCTAATTTTGCCGCAAACATGGCGGAATAGCAGGTCCCCCTGCTGCCATTAAAGAAAACAACTGTCGTAATCAATTAAAATGCGCCCCTGCAGAAAACAAGACATGCTTTACTGCAACACAGTAGTGACACACAGGCAGTATGTTGCTTGCTCCTCTCGGAGTCTGCAAGTCACAATGCGACCATTTGCTCTTTTTTTCTGGTAAAACAAAAAATTTAGTAATGATCAGTGGGACCAGATTCGCAATAGTTTTAGCTGGAAAACAGGATCATTCAAGCTTTAGAACTTAGTCTTCGAACTTGTGTTGCAGGCAAGGGCTCCACCAGCATAACAAGTACGCAAATGGTGAAGCAACCGGCGATTGGAGGTTCGAATACATCCTAAATTCTGCCAAACTGGCCTTTATTAGTTTCTTTGAAATCCCAGAAAGAATCCGTAAATCATGACGCGCTGATGTTGTGAGACATATGCTACACGCTGACCACGCGTCGTTGTGTCGCAGTGAAGCACATTTTGCTTTCCACATGTGCGCTTTTTGGTTGACAACGAAACCCCCCCCCCCCCCTCGCTAAAATTAGCGAGGGTGGGACGCTTCAACTGCCACTCATTTGTATCGCTACGTTGCATTGCCTTGTGGCTTCTAAGGGCCGTTGTTTCTGTGGATTTGTGGCTAAATCAGGATTGGGAATTGGCTCATTGCTCCCAACGTTTTCGAATGAACCGGACACGTGCTGACCGCCGCTCCAAATTATCCGCTCAGATTAATATCGCAAAATACAGGACCGGGAAATATTTAAAATTAAGCGAGATTTCGAAATAACAGAGTCGGAATTAATAGGGTTGTATTTTATTTATTTATATGCGACTCCACTTTGATAGCTTGCGGCCGTGTTGGCTTGTAACATACATGTAATGAAAAGACACACTCATTGCAGTAATTCTGCACTTTCAACCAGATGACAGCAGCTCACAACGGTTCCCAAACATGCTGACTGACGAGCACCCATTGAATCATGCTCTTTTCTTTCACCCTTTCTCTTATAGGTAGTTTGCGTTTTGTACATTCGTGAAATCATTCAAAGCAGTGCCATGAAGATCAGACATGAAGAGAGAGCATTTCCAGGCGATAGCGTCACGATAAGAAAGCTCAGATCGTAGACATCATCGCTATGTGTGGAATGTTATTACACCGAACATGTAGCACTAGTGTTGATGTCTCAGAGCACTCAATTTTCTATTGTGATTTTGTACGCTGCCGTTGAAAAATGATGACTTCCACACAACAGATGCCATTCAAATTTTGCCAAGAGGGCCTATGCATACCGAGCGATCGAATGCAGGACATATTTCGATTTTAAACGTTAGTGTCAGGGCCCCTTTAAAGGCGTCCTGCATCCCAAATTTAATGCATTCTTCGTTTCTGTGTTTGCTTTCTTTATGGCCTTCTGATGCTGCTTACACTAAGGAGTGCTGAGGTAGGTTTGCTAGAGAAGCTTGGCCTAGGAAGTGACCGGAAAGGGGTGGGACATTCTCCACTGCCGTCGTGCACAGAGATGCTACAGCTGGGGTCGTCGACTATATGACGGCGGTGCGAAAATGACACTCGAGGCAGTTCGTCAACAAGCGAGGGTTTATTAGCCCCAGATACAGTATAGTGCCACAATTACGAGCTAGCTTGTGGACCAAGAGGGAAACTCCCACAAGAGCGGCTGAGTGTATGCTTGCCTGCAAGCGCTATGGCTATCACACAAAAGGCACAGATGAGAAGCCACTTGCTAGAGCAGCATGTCTACCTATGGTGCAGACCTGCGAGCACCTATTCCAGCGAGCGACTGCCAGGTGGAAGCAAGTTGGGTTGGAGATTGTCGCTTGCGGTCATTAAAGATAGGTCAAGCTCAGTGACGTGCACTAGCGTGACGCGAAGGCAGGCATTTTCTGGGCATATGCAGAGAAGACCATGCATGATTTCCATCAGACAGAAAGGCTTGGCTCGAAGCTATGGTGGCCATGTCATTGATTAACGGTGGTTGCCAGTGCTCAAGCAGCATTGGGGAAGGGGGAAGGGATGAGCTGCCAAAGGGGAGGGCGCGCTCGATTCTCACTGGAGAGAGCTTAAATCAGTGTCATGTTACTTTAATTTGCTCCTGAAATGATTTTATCTTGTTGACTGCAGTGTTATAGTACAGTAATGCTTCTTAGGTACAGGATGTGCTGAAAAAGCATGTGATTTATGCTGTTCCCTTTGGTGGGTAGGCACTACAGTCATGTTGTATGATTGGTAATTCATCATATATAGCCACTGCATTTAACATAAAGTACTATAAGCTTTAATTTTAATAGTAGAGCTGTGCGAATAGCAAAATTTTGAATGCCAAGTGAATTCAAATATTGCTTGACTATTTGTTTTTTATTTTTCAAATACTTTGAAGTGAAACTACAGAAAAAAAGTGTACTAATGATCCTCAAGATATTCCTTTGAGATAGGAATATGGAAGATATCCTTTTGGCTAGGTTGATTGAGTGCTAGAAGGATGGTGTGTCTTAGTTGTTTTACCAAGGATGCGGCAATGCAGTACCAGAATTGTATTTATTTACATAATTTGGTGCAATCAATGTGGTGCTGACGACACTTTACACATGAAAAAAAAAAAAAGACGCTATTTCCTCCACCTCTACCCTCTTCAGCATCTGTGGAAGGCTAACTGTGGAAGCCCATCTGTGGAAGCCTATCTGTGGAAGCCCAACACAACTTAGCAGACAAGGGTTTGCTCTCTTCGAATTCGAAGTTGCTAATCTGCCCTGTAGACATCAATGTGTAAAAGGATCTGAAATTTTGGATGTTGAAAGCCTTCGTCCGATTTTTTCACACATTCTAGTTTGAAATGGCATCAATTAAAGCCCCCACCTCTGCTACGTAGGGTCAAACCACTGCTTTCATGAGTTACATAGTTGTAGCAGAGCCCTAAAGTCAGCTTTGCTGCTATATTAAGATTGATGCGGTGAAACATATAAAAACTATGAAGGGGCCATTGTAATGGTGCAGTGCATCTATATGTTGAACCAGTCTGGAAAATGCCTGTTTATACCTGTTCTACCAAAATAGCGAAGAATGTCTGGTGCCCTGGAAGCAGATTTCTCGTGTGCTTATGAACATAACGATTTTGCAACCATGGTTAAGTGCAAGAGAGGTTGTTGAAATTGGTACAAACATGTGTAGTTCAGTATATGTACCTGTTATGTTATGCTTCTCTGTTTATGTTTAAGGCTGGATTATCAACATGAGATTGGTATGTCAGACTGCAGCAATGCAGTATTTTTTAGTGCACTTATTATGAGTAATTTTTGCTGATGGTGCATATGTGCGGGTCAACAGATGAGGTTAAAATTGCAGCTTCTGGATGAGATGTTGGACAATGGCTTCCCACTTGCGACAGAGTCCAACATCTTGAAGGAACTGATCAAGCCGCCAAACATCTTGAGAACCCTCGCCAACACTGTCACGGGTCGGACAAAGTAAGTTGGGCGACAATCGATTTCAGTGTGGTAGTGGCAGAGTTGCCATATTTATAATACGCTAGTTCTTGTGGTAAAATGCCTCTCAAACTGTGAATGTGTGCAAGTCTGAATTTTTTCCGGCACTTTTTGCCTTTATCATGTGTTATGATGACATAGCAGGCAGTGAAGTATAAGTTAGGAATGGTTGAATAATAAATTTGAGGATCAAAGTGAATAGTGACTTGGTTAAATATCTTTTAATCGAATAGTATAGCCACTTGGCTAAATGTTTTTAATCAAATAGCAAATGTCACATAGTTACAATGAAAAGTGATCATTTTGGTCATGAGCCAACGAATTGGCACGATATTTTAAAGAATTGGAACCAGGCGTGGTGTGAATGTCATTTTTTGGTTCAAAGGGAAGTGGAAGTCATTTTGCAGTAGGATGCAAGTTAGCAGTAGGATGCAAGTTATTAGCAATGAAATGTGTTAGGTTTCTGTTAGGTTTCAAAGTTTACAATACTTAGCACATGCAAGCCTGCATAAGGAAATTTTAAACTACAAAAACAATTAATTGAGGGGAAAGTAATATGTACTATTCTCACGGATTCAAAACGAGGCATCAATTTTTTTATTACTTACAACTGGTATGCTCAGTTTCTCAAGATAATCATGCCATGTCACTACAAATATGGTCTGCAAATATAATGCTTGCTCTGATATACGGCTCCACCTAAACTTATGCTCATATAGGTAGAATACTGAGAAAACAAAATAATGTGTGTTATTAGCCCTAAATTATTCTGTTTCAATCTGTAAGTACTGTACATTCATTAAGCTTGGTGTGTAGCTTCACAGCAATGTTGGTTTCCTTTGGAGAGGTGGTTTTGTGGCAGGGTGCCCCAATGCTACAGTGAAAACGCCTATACAGAGGAGTGACATGCTGTCAGAGGTACATCTGTTGCTTTCTTTTTCATAACGAATATTTGTGTTGAAGCAAAGTTGAATACCGCATAATGTTCATTTGAATATTTGAACTGTTTGAGCATTCTCTTTGCCTAATATGGAAATTAAGTAACAACTAGGTGGGAGCATAAAGGGCTTAATTTTGAACCTTTTCATTACACAGAAAAATGTCTGTTACTCACTGTAAAACTGACTACATACCTAAGCAACTATAGCTAATCAGAGTTCTATTACTCTAGAGTTGAAATTTAACCATTGTCTTCGAGTAGCATGTCCCCTAAAACAGGTGCACAAAACGCTTTTACCTGTTTTCAAGAAGCACTGCATTGGCTGATTCCGAGTTTTATGCCTCACAGAGAAAGAAAAGGTGGATATTGCAGTTTTCTTGTACACAACTAGAAAGAAACAGACACGCAAATACCACGCACAGATGTGAGACGATTGGCTGGCACAGATGAGATGACTTGCCATTTCCATGAAAAGGTACTGCTGTGATGTGCCTTCATTCATGTTTCATCGCTTTATTTTTACAAGGAACTTTCAGTCTGATGCAACAGAGTGGTCACATTTCCCGTGTGTTGGGCAGTCAGTTGGAATTTAACATGGATACCTCAAATTACATGCAATGCAACATTTGTGATTTCCATAAAGTTTTGAGAACTGCAACTTTCCCATATGAACAGCTTCCCTCAAGTTAATAAAAAAAAAGGTAATCAATGAGTTTTGGTTGATTAGCAACTTTAATGCTGTTTTAGCTGTGGCAAAGTATTTCTGCTTCAACATAGCGTTTGTAGGAGCCTGGCTATTGTTTTTTTTTTTCTTAATCTAGATTGTACATCTCACCTCCCAAAAAAGGATAAACAGCCTATAAAACACTGGCCCTCTTGTTTAAGTATGTTGAAAAAACCAGATTTGTTCATTGGCAAGTTATCAGTCATCTTCTGGTGGTAATCCACGGGATTATTGTTTGGCTAAAGTCTGTGTTCTTACTTTGTTCAGCCTAAGCAGCACCCTGCCCACTGGTCAGCTCTCAAACATCCCGTGGCGTCGCACGGGGGTTAAGTACGCCAACAACGAGGCTTATTTCGATGTCGTCGAAGAGGTGGATGCCATTATTGACAAGAGTGGTTCTGTCATCTCTGCCGAGATCCAGGGATATGTAAGTCAGAAGCATCAGCATGCTTCCCCTTTTAACCCTTTAAGGGTCTGATTTTTTTCGAAATGGCAGTCCAGAAATGTATATTTTTCTTATTGCTGAATAAATTCTTCAGATGATTCTATTTATGAAAAAATTCTCTAGAATTCTATTTGTGACCATAATGTGACAAACAAATAATTTTGGTTGTTGCATACCCGTGGTTTATTCGTAGTAACATCAAGCAATTCCCTTAAAAAAAGCTTTTGTGATTTTTCATAAATAATACTATGCATTATAATAAACATAATAAAAAAACTAAGTGTACCAGAGCACCTTTCCTTTGAAAGTTGTTTTTGCTCCAACACTAAATACTAGAGCATAGCGCTTTTAGTCGCAGTGGGTACAAATGGAGACACACACTTTAATGGCACGTCACATACCACGTGTTTGATCAAATGATTTGAAACTTAATGTGCACATTTGAGCAGGCCTCCTGAGGGGACTACTGGCGCATTTAACATCATTGTGACATTGTGCTGGTGTATTGCTGCAGAGGATGATGTTGCTGGATTTACTACCATGTTCGATGATTGTTCGATGTGACGCATTCCAAGACCAACGTGAAAAGTATTTTTTGCTTCTCTCAAAACAAATGCAGCCAAAAAACAAGCTGTATTTATTTCGAGCTTAATAGTAGTAGATTCTTTTTATGCAAGTACCGAAGCTGACTGGTGGTAGAATAATTACATAATTAGTTAAACACTCAATAAATTTAAATACTAAAACTCACGCGACACAACGCTGTTCTTCATTTTGTTACTTGGAATGTTATACAGAGCACCTAAGAATTGTGCCACGCGAATTGGACATGTTTCTGACAGCACATCACAATTCCTGACTGAAGGGGATAGTCACCTTTGATCCGATCCAGGTTCTTGTGCCGCGCACGCCTTTGAAATGTAGCTCCTTCATCATTATCCGAGTCTGAACTCGTAATTAAATTTTTGCTGACAAACTCAAATCCAATTAATTAGATTCTGATTTAATACGAGGACAATAATCCACATAGAAAAAATTCGCCCCTCGACTCCCAAGCACCAGAGCAACTGGCGTGCACTTCTGCAGCGTAAGCGAACTGCGTGAGTGAGGGCACAGAAGAAAACTTTGCTTTTGTGTGCCCATCCAAAAAAGGAAAATGAGTAATACTGGTGTCACACGAGCATTTTTAATCGTGATCAGTGCCGATCCGGATTAACCACGATCTGGATTAGGTGCTGTTACAAGGTCACTTTGAGTCGGGATCAGGTTCGATCGGGATCAAGACTATCGCGATTCGTGCGTCGTGGTCTGGCTGAGAGATCGCAATTTTGGGTCATCTGCACCCTCTGGCCGAGCTTGTTGAAAGCGAAAGAAACAAAAAAATCAAGCATAGTTTTGTAAAAACAGATTTTGAAAACTAAATATTTATTTATAGAAGAAATTCTAAACTGTTTCAATTAGCAAAATATCTGTATATATGCACATTTTAGCATTCGTATTGACTGCATGCAGTTATGGGAGAAGCAGACGATAAGCAGCCGACAAGTTCAACTCTCGCATCGTCAGAGCAGTTTGAGCACCTCAAAGCAAATTGATTATGAGTGTCGCCAGCTTTTCGACTACGTCGCAGCGTACGCGGACTTTGTAGTCGGAAGAAGAGACCTTTACAGTAATTAACTGCTGGCAAGAGCAACTGGGCGACTTGAGGCGCCAGAAGTGAAACTGTGGCGTGTACAACAAGATTGCCGTTTCGCTGCGACTGGACGGCTACGAGCAGGTGCCATCAGAAATAAAAGGGAAGATTAAGATTCTCGCACAGAAATACAGGTAAGCACAAAAAAAGTTCTACCGAATAATGGACTTATGAAATTACTTTTGTAGTGGATCACAAAGTTTTTGACGTTAGAGCGGTTCTTGTACGAATAACATATTGCTGACAAATGGCTCTGTTGAAATATCGTAAGCTGAGTTTTGTCAGTGACACGTTTTACAGCACACAAGTGCCACCTAATGCATTTCATCTGATCTAAGCTCGAACCGGATTAGCTTGGGCAGTGTAGCAGCGGTTATAAACTTCATCGCGATCAAGAAAAACCGATCTGGATCATCCTTATCATGATTAAAAGTGCCCATGTGACACCGGTATAAGAAAGCTATAATAATCCTTCGTCTTATCGCCGATGAGTTAGTTTTCCCGAGTCTTCGAAACAAAAAACACAACCACGGCTACAGCATTTGTGTAATCTAGCGCCGCATGTAAACCTATGTAACTGCGCCTCGGGGATCAATAAAGGAGAGTCGCAAGCATACAATTTGAGAGATAAGAATGGGACAGCCATCACCTTTGCGGACGCGAAAAGCGTTGACCACCCGAATGACGAAACTGGAACCATCTGCACCACGTGCACATCTTTGGATGCAATAGCAAAAGCTACTGCACCGCTTCGGAGTGCAAGAAAAGAAAAAGAGAGGAGAGACATCGGTGCGTGAAAAAATTTCACGTACATTTTCCCGAAGTCTGACACCACATACCAAGTAAGAGAAATGATAGAAAAAGGTGTGCATTATAAACAGGCAGGCAACCTGTATGGCGTCAACTTTTTAGTCCATGTTAGGTGGTGACGTACATGTACGGCAGAAACCCTCAGAGGGTTAAACCTTTCACTAATGGGTGTTTTTAGCCAATATGTACTTCCTGTGTCGGCTTGGTTTCAACAATATTATGGAAGTTTTAAATGCCGAGAAACGACACATGGTAGGTAACAAGACATGTTGATGAGGGTCAAAAGTACAGATACTAATGGAAAGGGTATACAACAGCTTTGTTGCCAATAGTAGCAAGCGAATACATGAAAAAAAGAAACTGCAACCTTGCAGCAGATGTAAAACAACTCCCCCCCCCCCCCCCCTCCTTCACCTAAGAGTGGACGTGGTTGCTTCGTATGCTTCAGTATACGTGCTATAACAGGGAAAGGCGAGTAGTGTGAAAATGCGGGCTTCTAAATATGGATCTACAGGTGGCAGTACTGGCAAATTTACATTAAATCACGCCAACTTTGCGCCACTGCAAAACTTTTTGAATGCACTAGGGAGAATGTAGGAGCACATCAGTTAACAGTGAAATACAGTTGAATCTCGAAAATTCGAACTCGAAGGGGCCTGAAAATTTGTTTGAATTAAAAGAAGTTTGAATTAATGAAAGCTAAATACATGGAGGGCTCTCCATGCAGTGGCGCATGTGCATTGAGCTAACACATGAGGGGGGAAGTTTCAGAAGACTTCCATTTATTCACAAATCACAGGAGATCTGTTATTAATTGAAGTAATCAGTGATGCGCGTCTGCACACGTTTCCCTTGCCGTGAGTCAATCTATTTCGCACGCAGCTTGCAAAGCATTTCTACTTCGGCTTCAGCATTCTCCTGGCAAGAGAAGTTGCACGCGGAAATGTGCCATTGTCAGATAGGAAGGAGACGCGGCGCGAAGTGCTTTGTCCCAGAGTTTCAAGTAAGTCATCAATCCATCATCATCTGTATGTCTATCCTGGCACTTCCCCTCCCCCCCCCCCCCCCCCTGCGCCGACACTTTCTAAAGACAACAACGACTGTGTAGCAGAGAGCCGCAGCATGGCCAGCACAGTACGAGAAAGGAGGAGCGTCTCCACGCGGCGAGAAGCAGATCGGCATTTGAGAGAAAACCAACACTCCACAGCAGCTTTTTTTTTCTTGCTCTCTTCGGGCGCGTTGTTGAAAGGAGAAGGGTTACATAGCAGGGATGGGAAAGGGGGAAGCGTGAAACCGGCGCGTGAGAGACTCCCCTTCCTTAAGGCGCAGAGCCGTGCTCCCGTAAGAGGCAAGGGCTGCAGAAGATAGTGCCTTTTTCTTTTTCTTCAACCACACATTCATTCAACCCAGCGACAGCGTTCTTTTTTTTTCCTCTCTCTCTTCACGCATGGCCCTGCAAGGAGAAGGGTCTTTAGGGGGCAGGGACGGGAAAAGGAGAGGCGTGACACGGATGCGTCGCAGATCAACATTTGAGAGAGACCAAACCTTCCACCGCAGCCTTTTCTTTCGTTTTCATTTCCTTCACGCGCTGTGTTGAGGTGTCGTGGAATAGGGCGGGAAGCTGAGAGCATTTTCGGAGCGCGATATGTTCGAATTAACCATCGGAAGTGCTTGCGCATTCGAATTACCGGGCGTTTTAGCCCATTGAAATACACATAGCTTTGACGGGACATTATCGGGAATTCAAATTACCAAAAGTTCGAATTAAGCGTGTTTGAATTAATTAGATTCGACTGTAGTTTATGAGCTGTGCTGTGTGCACTTACTCATGGGCAACCTTATCCTATGGTAAATAAATGATGCAAACCTCACTAGCTTACAGTGGAGCGTGAATCTCTACTTTGAATTTTTTGGGAACGTTCAGTGAGCTTCAATTCGACAAAAGCGAAAAATAGGACTCTATACAGGATGAAGAAACAAGTGAGAGAGTTTCTGAAGTCCTCACTTCTTATTTGCAATAGAAATTCTGTATTATTATGGGCTTTTTTTTCCCCCATCACCGATAACACTGGTAAGTTGTCAGTCACAATCTGGAAATGCTTGCCCCATGCGCTCCAGCCCTTCCTCATTCATTGGGGAATTTATTTTACATGAGGGGGTTCCCAGCTTAACCATGACATCATGCTCTTTTCAGATTCTAGAGGCTAGTTGCTGGTCATGAATTTTTCCTTTCTTGGCAAACTATTGAGCATTAGCTCTGTCTCTTGCACATTCTTTAGTAAACCGTGGGGTTTGGGATATTCTGTGTTAATCTTTATTATTTCTTCCCAATTCAATTGTTTGAATACTTCTGAGCATGCTGCAAACAGCTTTGGAGAAATTCTGTCTTCTTGCTTGACCACTTGCCCAAACAGCACTTTTCTTGCTTTTCATGTGGTAGCTGTGGAGTCTTTGTAGATGCTGGTTAAGCTGTTCTCATGGATTTCAAGCACCTTTGCAATGTAGTGCTTTCTGAAACTGCTTGTATTTCTACCAAATTCCGGACCATTCCGGACCAAAATCGAATATTGCGCTTAAAATTTCTTTTCCAGTTAATAAAAGGTCACTATGCAGTTGACACATCACATATCGTTCACTTTTCATCGGGTTACGGAACAAGACAGAGACACAATCTTACTATCTCTCCATTGATGCAACGAGCAAATTGTTTCAAATATTCTTTTTTTTTTCGAGGACTATCGTGGATTGGAACAATCTACATAACGATGTTGTTACCCTAAATACATTGTCTGCATTTGAAGAGTCACTGCAGAAATGATTGTTATCTATGTTTGTACCTTGCTTTTTGTAGATTCTCTTGTCTCGAAGAATCCCTGTAGCTATCAGTTACATAAGTTTGTATTACATTTGTTTTTTGATTGTTTGTTTGCCTGTTTCCACTGATGTTTATGTTTGTTTTGTACCACCCCTGCTATGACCTTGTAAAAGATCGCAGTACCAATAAATAAATAAATAAAAAATTCAGTGGCTCACTTAGTAAATTCGTTGTAGGCTCTTACTCAACTGTTGCTATGAGTGGTTTAGGGGCCCATGACACGAGTGTTTTTATTGAATTTAGTTTTTTTGAGAACACGACTGCTTTGTGAGAGCATATTGCAAAATTGACTGAACTAAAACTATTTTAGTTGGTGCTCTTTCGTTCATTATTATTGGTCACAGTTGAAGTATTTAGTATTTTATTTGCTTTGAAAGACCTGCTAGGTGGCCACATGTTTTTTATCAAGTATGTCTGCATGCTGTGTATAAATAGTACAGGACGAATTAACATACCTTTATGCAGAAGAGAGTTGTTCAGTAGTTGCCTTCCTCTTTGTTCAAGAGTTTTGTCGGTGTTGTTGTGTTGAGGGTGTTTATTCTGGCCACTTTCTTCAAGTTTTCATGGCAAAATGTTTTACCTTTTAGATACATAATAACTGCAGTAGACTTTCACTAAATAGAAGTCTCTTAAATGGAATTGCTATGGCCTCTGATATGATTGATTGCGTACTCGAATTCTGCACCCCTGTTTGTCTCTCAGTAAATGAAGCTCCTGGTAAAGGAAACACATTTTTCTGGTCCTTTCGGGTTTTATTTCTTGAGTGCCTATTGTACTTTACTTGGTGCCTTTGTTGGCCATGCAGGTGGACTGTTGCATCAAGCTGAGCGGAATGCCCGACCTCAGTTTGACCTTTGTCAACCCACGCCTTTTTGATGATGTCAGTTTTCACCCTTGCGTTCGTTTTCGACGTTGGGAGGTGAGTGGAGTTGTGAGCTTGATTGCTTACACTTTTGTGGTTTCAGCTGCGGTCACGGCTGCTTTAGTAATTATACTCCGTTTCATTCATCAGGTGCAACACTATGGAAGGTGGGGAGACTTCTTGCGGTACATCCGCTCGCACCAAGAAATAGTTCAATTATTTTACTACCTATAAATGTTTTTTTTTTTCTTTTAGTTTTTTCACCAAGTAATAAATTTAATTCTTTGTGTCTGAGAAATACAGAAACACTATTATGGTATACAGTCATCAATACGCTGTTCAGGATCATATTCTGGCCTCCGCAATTGATTCCGTCAACACGCAGCTGGAGCCCATCGAGGAGGCCATGTTTACGACTCAATTGAAGCGCGAGACGTGCGTAGTTCTACATCTTACTGACCGAACTTCATGCATAGCTTCCACAGCATTGCAACTGATGTACGAAACGGATGATAGTAAGGCATGAAGTGGCCTTACCTATCATGCAAGCTGTCGTACTGAAACCAGCCATCATGTCTTAGTGAATATGCATTTCAGTGCTGATTGGTATGATGTGGTGGTTTTGATTGACAACAACAGTGAATACATTCCATTGAAGGGATTATGTGAAAATTCTCTTGCTCCGATATTTTTGTGTACATTAAATGATTCACGAAGTTAGCATCAATTAGGACCATTTTTCAAGTATGACTTATTACATATACCATTTCTTGTAGGCTTATGAAGATGTCACAATTTTGATTGAAAGCTAAGTTGAACCAAGTGGTTGACAGTATCGAATAATTTTGAAGTGAATCCAGATAATAACAGAATTTCAATTTTAGTATACAAATTATAAGTGGTTGAATACTTTATGTGTTCTAATTCGCCATGCTAAGACCATGTAAGCCCTTAAGCTTGCTTTTAAACTTAATATATATAAGGGAAAGAAGTGTATACCTAAGGGCTCGTTTTTCCGTGTTTTGACACATTATTAATCAGATCTAACAGACAATAATGACAAGGAATATATAGGGAAAGTTATTAGAACCAATGTAATGTGAATAAAAAGACAGAAAAGTGAGTGAAGTATATATATATAAAAGTTGGGTGCAAGTAATGTGTGCACTTAACCTTGTAAGTAATTTTTCAATATTGCAGATTTTCTCTGTATGGGTGGTTTCATGGCATAGCGGCCTCATGGCGCAGTGAAACCACCTTTTGAGGTGGATAACATGCAGTAAAATATGTCTATTCAGTTGTTTTGCATGCTTCGTAAGTGCAGGAATTTAAAGCTTGTGTTGGAGCAAACTCAATTACCATAATATTCGTTCAAACATTTGAAGCATTCCAGTATTTATGCAGACTCAATTTGTTGATTTTGGATGTCAAGTCGTATAATTTAAATAGGAATATCACAACTTTCGAATACGAGTATGTAGCTTCGAATGCCAATCAAATAATAAAAAGAGATGCAATTTTTTTCACCAGTAATATTTTAATCAATTATATACTTATATACAAAATAGTAAACTTGTTAGCTGTTCTAGTCTGTTATTATACAAACGAAAAAATCGCCATCAGCATATGATTGTGATAGTTGAGTTTGGGACTGTGATGTCTTGCATGTTCAGCAAACTTATTCACATGTTGAATAAACTTTTCTATGTGCTTTATACTGTGGTGTACACGTATCCCGAAGGAGTACGGCCACCAGCGTGGGTTCGGTCTTAGCGAGCCGCAGGGCACGCGATAACCGTCGCCGTGGCGAGAACACGATACTGCTCAAGTCGCAACACTTTATTGTGGCAACACCAAACGCAGTACAGCCCGTTGCAAATAGGCGCGGCGGGAAAGCAAGTAGGCTTATCCACGCCACGGGCACAAAGTACTACACAGGGTGCCACGAGCACGTCTCCGCGGTAAAGGTGATCCACGGAGACACCGGGACAAAGGGGGCCCGGTTGCTCGAGCGAGGGCAAAGGCGCTCGCGTTGGCTTCGAAGGGAGACGGGTCGGCGTAGCTAGGCCACGCACTAGGACACCGTACTGCCCTTCGGCCGTGAGTACGCAGCGGGGCAACAAAAGGTGAGCGTTCGCATCGGGCGCGAGGCGCCGTCAGCGAAGTCCGACGAGCCCCGAGCGACGGGACTCGACGGACGGAAAAGAATGCGTGGCTCACCGTTTGAAGTCCCGGACTGTACTCCCCGCTCCCGACGCAGCGCGCGAAAACCTCTCGGGAGGCTCCCCGCGCGGCGCCACAGTCAACATCCGCTACCGGGTGAGGGAGTTAAACGTCACTCCGCCCTTCCCAGCGCGGCAGACAGCAAGGAGGGCAGACATGTCGGGACATGAGAATGGCAGAAAGGCGGGAAAGCCCCCGCAAAGGCAGCGGGCCAGCCTCAATTCCCACATCCTCCTCTCCTAAACTTGTCCTTTACCGGTCTGCAAAAGGCAGCCGGACGTCACCCATGCAGTTAAAATGACACTGCTATGAGCGGTAGCTAACCTCAGTCCAGCCCTGCTACTGCTGCTTAAAAGAAATATGATTACAAAGGAGAAACAAAAACATAAATAACAAAATAAACACACGACACTATACAAATACTGCAGAAGGGAGCACAGAAACGTGGCACTAGTGTTAGTGGTGCTGAAGGGGGATAGCGTCCACTGCGCGGAGGGGCGGAAAGGCGTGACAGTGTCCGCTGGGTGCGATGCCCGAGTGCGAGGTCAGAGGTACGGAAAGGGGGCTGACTGATGGCTCGTTGCTGGTCTTGATAAGCAGCGAGTCCGACGAACGCTGCCTCGGCTGTGCTTCGGAGGCCCCCGCCTTTCTGGCTCGATGATGAAGCTTGAACGTGGCGCGAAGCCGGGCCTCTCCAGTGCTCAGGGAGGCCGACCCAAATTGGCTGCGAATGGCATTGGCCGGCAGCATATAGCTGCTTTCAGCTGGCCTCGCGCAGGAGCCATGGTGGTAAAGGCAGCGGGGCTTCTTCGACGACGGCCGAGAGCAGAGCACAGCCAGATGGTCTGACGTCAGTGGGTCAATGACCCCCCAGCACCTCCAGCATCCGCATCGATGGGGGGAAGCCATGACGCACTCTTCGCGGGCTCGCACTGAAGCGTCACGCACTTACACACGCACGGAAGCACGCGCGCACACACACCGCCGACAGCTGCGCGAGCGTAGGCGCAAAGCGTCCTTCGTCTCTCTCTCTCCCGGCAAGCACCGACACACAAGGTCACACACAGCTCCCTTCGCGGTAGACGAAACGAACACGAAAAAAAAAGTAAAAAACAGAGCAAAACGACACTCAACATCTGGCGAAAAACATAAAACACAAATAACACTTAATATTAGACAAAAACATAAAATACACATGAACACTTCAAAAAAAAAAAAAGAAACACTGGCAGCAGACAGAGCGGGGTCAACTTCTTTACGAGAAAAGGCCGTAAAGAAGCTAACCTATACTGAGGCTAGACAGGAAACTGAGGGCCTTCGGTTGCGGAGAAGTCCGCCGTCCGGCGCGAAATCACAAAGGTGACCGCTTCCTCAGATTATACCGGCGCGGGGTCCGAATGCGGTCCGTCGCTCCGGGTGTGCCCGTTGCTTGCGCGAAGTGCCGCAGGGCACTGGCGCGAGCTCGTCAGACCGTGACAAAGGGCTTCAGGTCTGCGATGTGGGCACGGCTGAGTTTTCCCAAAGGGGATCTTTCAGCTAGTACGCGCCACGGACGCTCACTGACAATCGGTTCATCAGACCGGGCGGCTTTCCAACCCTTGGCTCAACCGTTTGTCAGACGTGGCAGGCACGGAATAGCGATAAAAGCCACGCTTCGTGCCGGGCCAGGTCACAACATTGCTCAGTTTGCAAAAACTTTCGAGCCACTCAGGTGACCGGCCATGGATTCGTCGTGAGAGGATCGCAACAGTGCGGCTCTCAGACTTTTGGGCATAACCACCTTAAACGGGTCGCTGGACTCGTCGTCAGTGGCTATATACTTCAGCAGGAGCCCGTCATGGTCCAGCAAAATGAATCCGCCGGGGACTCAGCGACACACGCTGTTTCAGCCCCCTAATCGCGCCCGCCGCAGAACAAGCAGCGTAACGGCGCTCCGCACCTCGTCAAGACGGTTTAACGGCGCCCGCCGCAAAGCAAGCAGCATATACGGCGCTCCGCCTCTCCGAGACTCGAAACGGATCACTCTGCTGAGCCTTCAGTAGCTCTTCGCTGCCGAAAGCAATTCCCATTCTCCCAAATGGGGGAGTCTGGTATCGCGCCCACTCAGGACCGCAGCAACCGCCGCGTGAGTCGGCGTTACGGGTTCACTCTCGGCCTCGTGGCCTTCGGAAAGCTCCCCCGCTCGGCCGCTTCGCGGTGCGCCGCTTACCTGGATAGCAGCCAAGGTTTGTCCGCATGGGGCCTCACCCTCCTCGCCGAATGGCGGCGAAGCTGCTGTTTCGCCCCCGACGCTTGCATGTGCTAAGGCACCGCGAGCGGCCGTCGCACCGAAATCCAGGTTCTCGGCAGACAACAAGGGGCACGAGATAGCGCGTCAGCTACCACGTAGGAGTGTATTCACCACAAAAAGGGGTGACGACACAGGCGAGCGCCGAAGGGCGCCCGTCGATAGAGGCGGTGGCCTCTTGGTGCAACGCGGCATGCCACGAAGCAGACATAACGTTCGGGTAGGGCAAGAGGCCCATTCCGAAGCGACGCGCCATCTCCAAAGGGAGCGGCTAGGCGCCTCGTGTCGTCACCGCAATAGGGGGTGCCGACACGGACGGGTGCAGAAGGGTTCCCGTCAATAGAGGCAATGGCCTCCGTGTGCAACGCGGCATCGGCTAAAAGGGACAGCGGACAAAAGTCTCGCGAAGCAGCCATGTTGCGACGAGCCCGAATCGCGCAGGCGAACTGACTCGCTAAGAGCAGTCAAAAGCTAGAGCTTTTGATACCACGTTGGGCGCCAGTGTGGTGTACACGTATCCCGAAGGAGTACGGCCACCAGCGTGGGT